CCCAACTTTTGAGGGATCTCAAGAACTTCCGAAGGTCCCCAACTTTTGAGGGATCTCAAGAACTTCCGAAGGTCCCACCATGTTTTTTGGGGTCCCACCACCCTTTTTTGGGGTCCCACCACCCATTTTTGGGGTCCCTTGACCATTCAACCCACCTTTTGAGGGATCTCAAGAACTTCAGAAGGTCCCACGACGTTTTTTGGGGTCCCACCACGTGTTTTGGGGTCCCACCACCTTGGGAAGGTCCCACCACCATTTTTTGGGGTCCCACCACGTTTTTGGGGTCCCACCACCATTTTTGGGGTCCCACCACCCTTTCTGGGGTCTCTTGATCCTCCAACCCAACTTTTGAGGGATCTCAAGAACTTCAGAAGGTCCCACGACGTTTTTTGGGGTCCCACCACGTGTTTTGGGGTCCCACCACCTTGGGAAGGTCCCACCACCATTTTTTGGGGTCCCACCACGTTTTTGGGGTCCCACCACCATTTCTGAAGGTCTCACCACGTTTTTTGGGGTCCCACCACCCATTTTTGGGGTCTTTTGACCCTCCAACCCAACTTTTGAAGGATCTCAAGAACTTCAGAAGGTCCCACCACCATTTCTGAAGGTCCCACCACATTTTTTTGGGGTCCCACCATGTATTTTGGGATCCCACCACCTCGGGGAGGTCCCAGGAGTTTTGAGGACCCCACCTGAGGTCTTCTTCTCGCCCCACCCCAGACGTGGCTCTTCGGGTACGAGCTGACGGACACCATCATGGTCTTCTGCGAGGAGAAGATCCTCTTCATGGCCAGCAAGAAGAAGGTGGAGTTCCTCAAGCAGGTGGCCCAGCCCAAGGGGCAGGAGAGCGGCAACGGCGTCCCCACCATCACCCTCCTCGTCCGCGAGAAGGTGGGGACCTCCCGGAGGTCTTCTGGGTGGTGGGTGGGGACTTCTGGGTGGACCTGGAGGTCCTCAGGGTGGAGGTGGGTCTTCAAAATGGACCTGGAGGTCCTCAGGGTGGAGGTGGGTCTTCAGAACGGAGGTGGAAGTTCTCAAGATGGTGGTTGAGGTCTTCAGGGTGGTGGTGGGGTCTTCTGGGTGGACCTGAAGGTCCTCAGGGTGGAGGTGGAGGACCTCAGGGTGGACTTGGGGTCTTCTGGGTGGACTTGGAGGTCCTCAGGGTGGAGGTGGGCCTTCAAAATGGAGGGGGAAGTTCTCAAGATGGTGGTTGAGGTCTTCAGGGTGGTGGTGGGGTCTTTGAGTAGACTTGGGGTCTTCTGGGTGGACGTGGAGGTCCTTAAGATGGTGGTCGAGGTCCTCAAGATGGTGGTCGAGGTCCTCAGGGTGGAGATGGGTCTCCAAGATGGACGTGGAGGTCCTCAAGGTGAAAGTGGAGGTCTTCTGGGTGGACCTGGAGGTCCTCAGGGTGGAGGTGGGTCTTCAGAATGGAGGTGGAAGTTCTCAAGATGGTGGTTGAGGTCTTCAGGGTGGACTTGGGGTCTTCTGGGTGGACTTGAGGTCTTCAGGGTGGACATGGAGGTCTCCAAGATGGTGGTGGGGTCTTCTGGGTGGACTTGGGGTCTTCTGGGTGGACCTGGAGGTCCTCAGGGTGGAGGTGGGTCTCCGAAATGGATGTGGAAGTTCTCAAGATGGTGGTTGAGGTCTTCTGGGTGGACTTGGGGTCTTCTGGGTGGACCTGGAGGTCTCCAAGATGATGTTGGAGGTCTCCAAGATGGCGGCGTGGTCCAGCTGGGGTGGCCCGGCCCTTGGAGAAGACTTTTGACCCATTTTTTTGGTTTTTTTTCCCCCAGAACGAGTCCAACAAGAGCAACTTTGAGAAGATGATCGAGGCCTTGAAGAGCAGCAAGGGTGGGAGACGTCTCGGGGTCTTCAGCAAGGACAAGTTCCCCGGGGACTTCATGAGGAGCTGGAACGAGTGTCTCAACAAGGAGAACTTTGAGAAGGTCCGTCCTCGGGAGGTCCTCCCGGCCACCGGGGGGCACCCTTGGTCTCCTGGGAGATCACGGTGGTATCTAGGTGGACATCCGTGGGGATGTTCTTGGGGTTTTGGAGGTGGGACTCCATCGTGACGTTGGGTTTTGGAGGTGGGACTCCATCGGGACGTCATGGTGGACGTCCATCTTGATGTTCTTGGGTTTTTTGAGGTGGACCTCCATCGTGATGTCCAGCTTGGGTTTATTTCTTGGTGGACCTCCATCTTTACATTCTTGGGTTTTTGGAGGTGGGACTCCATCCTGACGTCGGGTTTTGGAGGTGGGACTCCATCGTGACGTCCAGCTTGGGTTTCTTCTTGGTGGACCTCCATCCTGACGTCAGGTTTTTGAGGTGGACCTCCATCCTGACATCATTTTGGACATCCTTTGGGTTCTTCTTGGTGGACTTCCATCTTGGGGTTCTTCTAGGTGGACTTCCATCATGATATCAAGGTGGACATCCATCTTAACATTGAGTTTTTCTTGGTGGATCTCCATCCTGACGTCATTTTGATCTTCTTTGGGTTCTTCTTGGTGGACCTCCATTCTGACATGGAGGTGGACATCCATCGTGACCTTCTTGGGTTCTTCTTGGTGGACCTCCATCCTGACGTCAGGATTTTGAGGTGGACCTCCATCCTGACGTCATTTTTGACCTTCTTTGGGTTCTTCTTGGTGGACCTCCATCCTGACATCAGGTTTTTGAGGTGGACCTCCATCGTGACGTCCATTTTGAGGTTCTTCTTGGTGGACCTCCATCATGATGTCAAGGTGGACATCCATCATGATGTTCTTGGGTTCTTCTTGGTGGACCTCTATCCTGACGTCAGGTTTTCGAGGTGGACCTCCATCATGACGTCCAGCTTGGGGTTCTTCTTGGTGGACCTCCATCCTGACGTCAGGTTTTTGAGGTGGAGCTCCATCCTGACATTGGATTTTGGAGGTGGACCTCCATCGTGACGTCCATCTTGAGGTTCTTCTTGGTGGCTCTCCATCCTGACATTGGATTTTGGAGGTGGCCCTCCATCCTGACGTCCACCTTGATGTTCTTCTAGGTGGCCCTCCACCTTGACGTCGGTTTTTTTTCTTGGTGGTCCTCCATCCTGACATCACTGTGGACCTCCTCCTTCTTCTTTAAGGTGGACCTCCACCCTGAGGTCCTCTCCGACCTCATCTCTGATGTCATCTCCCGCAGGTGGACATCAGCGCGGCGGTGGCCTCCACCATGGCCCCCAAGGAGGAGGGCGAGCTCCACCTCATGCGCAAAGCCGCCGCCATCACCTCCGAGGTCTTCTCCAAATTTTTCCGCGAGCGCGTCATGGAGATCGTGGACGCCGATGAGGTCAGCCCCCACCCGTCCTCCATCCTCGAGGTCCATGATGATGTCACCGTGATGTCATCGTGACCTCATCGCCCCTAGAAAGTCCGACACAGCAAACTGGCCGAATCGGTGGAGAAGGCCATCGAGGAGAAGAAGTTTTTGGCCGGCGCCGACCCCTCGGCCGTGGAGATGTGTTACCCCCCCATCATCCAGAGCGGTGGCAACTACAACCTCAAGTTCAGCGTCGTCAGGTCCAGTTTAAACCAGTTGGAACCAGTCGGAACCAGTTGGGGGCTCCAAAAATGGGTTGGGGGGGGGACAAACCACCAGAAGAGGTCCTCAGGGGGGTGGTGGGACTCCATCGGGACGTCCTGGGGGTGGTGGGACTCGGCGTGGGGACTTGGTGGCCTTTCTTGGGGATTTGGTGGCCACCAGAAGGAGGTGGTGGCCACCAGAGGGATCTGGTGGC